TAGCGGTTTGATAATATAATTTCACTAGACCTTCATCTGATAACATTAATCCATTAAATATTATTAATTTTTTGAAGATTAGACTGCGGGTTTTAGATGACAGTAATGTGGTTAAGCTACAATATGCAAGTCTCTAGTGTGAGACCGTTATTTCAACTTCAATAATTATGTGAAGTAAGATAGTAGTTAGAATAAGTAATGAGGCTTATCAGTAATCAAAATACTCTGTGTTTTCATTTGCTTGTTGCGATGTTCTTTTTTCATTCTATTCTGTTTGGCACTAATATATTGAATATTTCAAATAAAATAAACAACTTCCATATTATTCATAAAGATTTCTCTTAAGGAGGGGAATTATCGTTTACAACCGTTATCTCAACTTAGCAAATACTATATTTAATATAGTTCCATAATTTACTCTTTCATCTCAATTTGATGTAGTCTCAAGATTGAGGCCGCATGCGCAAGCCTTAAACACAGTAAATATTAAATAAAATAAAGTAGAATCATTCCTTCTTTCAAATCTATTGATATTTATGATTTTCATGTGAGTTGGTCCAATCAGGTACCAAAATGAACTTTAAATTTAGCTTAACTTTAGTTGTTTAATATAAATAATTAAATCCTGGAAATAACTTTAATTCCCTTGAGATATTTCATCTGTAGGATATAAGAACTAACTTTTTACCTAAAGGAATTATCCTCAAAATTCAGCTTAACAAAATCAGTCTCCCGATTAGCCCAAAGGCAAGCAAGTTTAAGATCCACCATTTTCAGTTGGCTAGGAATTTTTGATAAACTTTCGTGGCATTATAATTGCTCAAATAGGTCAACTATCAGATTCTACTATCTATCTGACTGTTCATTTTTTATTCTGATCATCTTCAAACAATCTACATAGGAGAATTGACTACTGATTCACCATTAGGTAAGAATTTCTGGTAGAAATTTCCAATAATGATCATCCTTCAATAAATAAATCTATGTATTAAATTTAATAGCACTTATATTGATCTATTGTTATGAGAGGAAATAGTAGAGAGGATCTTCATAATCTCATGGAGATAGTATTGAAAGACTTTACTCTTTTCAAAATAATAAAAGAATTTCGATAGAAGTAGCGAAATATTCATATATATCTTTTATCAAACAGCTTGAATTTTCTATAATAGAGCTCTTGTTATCAATAGTAGTACTAATATAAATGAAAACTTAAATTATCTTACTTACCTGTGATATATTAATAGCATAGAAATTTTCTCTTTAGCAAGCACTGATTCTTTAATCCTCATATTTTAGTTTTTCTTCAACATTAACCATCTAACCATTCTTCAATAAATATATTGATAAATTATCAAAGGTACATTCATAAACAATATGACACTTCGTTTTCCTACAGATTAATGATAATATTCCAAAAAGTTGATGGTAGGTTATTTTCCTTGAGATCTTCGTATTATTATATAAAGATCAAAGAAAATATGTAGAATTTATGATAGACTTTAAGTAATAAAATATAAAAATCTTAAGAATTACAATACATATTCTGTAAATTCAATAATTATTAAACAAAAAAAATTAATATGAACTACTTTAATTGGTCAAAATTCTCAAAAGAAGAAAAGGATCTTTTCAGTTAATCCAATTCAAACGATCATGGGGAAGGAGTTAAAGGAAACTAAGCTGCTTATACAATCTTAGCTGTGAGAATATGATTAAAAAATTCTCTATATAAAAATATCTCATTGTTTAATAGGAAATCAACATGATGTAATAATGATTACTCGCCTATTGCATTCATTTAATCAAACAAGATTTTTAATTTGATTGTTAAAATTATTTCTGATTCGTTATTAGCGATCTGAGCAGGATCTGGTTTGCTGATGAGGGAAATTCTAACAGCTATTGAAAGTATTAGTTTCCCTAGCTTTATGAGAAAATTGGATTGATTACTAGTATTTTATTCAACCACAAAATACTCAAAGAGAGGAGAAAGATAACTCTTCTCACCATCCTAATCTGGAACGTTGCCTAATTCAAATTTTCCAGCATATTGTAAGGTATTTAATTTTCCCTCCTATCTTTTCATTTAACTACCTTCCTGTTTGGTAGGTTAATACTCTCCAAATATCTTTGCAACATCTAGAACAAATTATAAAAGCAAATAGTCATATGCTCGTTAGTGATGACTTACTTCCTCTAATGTCATTAGTTACAACCTGGCTGGGGTGTAGATGTTATAGAACAAGTTTAGATTAGAAGAGGAAAATTAAAATTAGTGGGAAGATATCCCAGCTGAACTAAACGGATGGTACTTCACTATGCATCACTGATAATATTAATTTTAAAGACCCAAAAGTACAATGTAGATTGAATCAGGGGACTAGCTCAAAATACTTAAAGAAGAATTTACAAAGAGAAAAGATATTTAAATAAAGGCAAACATTTTGAATTTTACTTTTTCATAAAAAATATATAATCAATCATCGAAATCAACTGAAATATATGATAACATAAAGGCTTTAATAAATAAAAAATCTAAGAAATTAATAATCAGGAAATGGCAAACTGGAAGAATTATCTTTATTCATGGTGTTTTCTCTAGGGAATCCCTGGTGCTTTTCAGTAATTCTGAATTAATTATAGATACATCCATTCATCGAAATGGAATGACAATCATATTATGGTTTATATACAGAGATAATTTATTGACCAGCTTAATGATGCCTGCGAGATTGGACTAGAGTCCTCTCTCTTTAATTAGGTAAATTAAAGGGTCAATTTAAAGAA